TCTCTCTGTCTCTCTCTGTCTCTCTCTGTCTCTCTCTGTCTCTCTCTCTCTCTCTGTCTCTCTCTCTGTCTGTCTCTCTCTCATGTTACCTCAGCGAGGCTGTGCTCTCAACACACATGATCTCCTCAGAGATTACAGCACTCAGCGTTGGAGAGCCGTCCCTCTCATTTCACCTCTTCAGACTACTGTAATTCACCTGCTCTTCCTGCTGAGGGCTCTCCCACCACCCACAGTATAAGTGTGAAAGCCTGCAGGGATAAAAACTATCAGGAGGAGCCTCAGAGGACCAGAGAGCTGGAGGCACTCTCCATGTGCATATATAAACCTCTAAAGGCTCTAAGTGTAGCGTTTTAACATAAAGCATTAACAACTACACCGGCATATTATAGCAGTCTGCTCTCACCAAATGGCTGATGAATGACACAACAAGTTGTAAGTATTTTTTGCGCGCAATAAGAACGCCTTTCTTGCACTGACTGCAGCCACTATGATACACTCTCAACTAGTCATGTAGTACAAAATGCTTTTTTCTTTTAAATTTATGCAACAGAATCTCTGATAACATGCACAGGTACTAAGTAATAACTCCACTACATCTCTTTAGCTATTAGCTGCTAGAAAAGTTCTAATATATCACATGTACCAGGAGTGGGGTTCGAACCCACGAGGGCTTATGCCCATTGGATCTTAAGCCCTCTCGGCCATCCTGGTGTCACATGAAATAAAGTATTATTACTATGAAAAAAACAACAATGAACAAGTGAAACACAGGCGTTACAGTTTGAGCTTAACGTGTTTTCTAATAGAACTAGTTTACAAAGTTGTCTTTTTATCCAAATAAAGCCTATGAAAGCCAAAAAATGTTAACGTCAAAAACTAGTGTTTCATTACAAATAATGCTATATTATCCTCCCAAGAAGAACGACGACGTCAGTCGTGTGCCCCAAAGAGATGTGTTTACTATAGGTGACAGAGACCAATAACCCTCCATGTCCTTACCAAGAAATAGTACGTTTCTGCAAACCAAGGCTACGTGGAAGGTGGACATTTGCATTCACATGCAAGTGTCATGTGTATCAAGCAATCAGTATCATATATTACCAGGAGTGGGGTTTGAACCCATGAGGGCCCATTGGATCTTAAGTCCAACGCCTTAACCTCTCAGCCATCCTGGTGACATTTACTCCATTAACATCATCATCATTATCGTCAACATTATTAATATTAAAACTATCAATGAGAGGACACGCTAAAAGATCATTGAAACAAATTTTTTTGCAAGAAGATGTCTTTACAGCATGTTGGTTTAATTTACATTCCTCCATGAACAAAAAACAACTATGAGTTCTTGAAACTGCAAATCAATATTGACAAGTAAATGTTGACTTCAAGCTTTTTACATTACAGCCTTTAACATCATGTTAACACATTAAAATATATTTGTCCTCTTTAGGTCGGCCAAATATTTAAACTGCAAGGTATTTTGGGAGATGTAGTCTTTTTCAGAAGTACTTGCACTAGCAATGTCAGAGGTGGGAGAGAGGAAGCTCTACCAGTGTCTCATTTGTTCGTTAAAGGCATATAGGCCTTTTAACAAAATATGAACTCAAGATAAATAATGCAGCATGTTATGAAATCTGTGTCTCTTTAAATGGAGAGTTATTGCTGTTTTCAAAAGTGAAATCATCAGGCTGTGGTGGATATCGAGAGGCAGATGAAGACCTTGTGCTGAAGTGCTGTACACTAATGCTGACAGAGTGATCAAATCTAAAAGCCTCGTCAGAGTTGTGGGCTTGGGTCGGACCGCAGCATGAATCATAATAACAGTCTCTTATCTCAGCGTTGGAGAACATCATCCATTAACAGAGAGGCTTTAGATGGAGGCAGCGTTAGTTTGGCTTTAGCTTAGAGTTCGGAGCTCGAGGGGGAGAAGATGTGAATATTTATTGAGCCGACGTTCATGAATCTGTGTGAATGTATGTGTGGCCTACAATCACACCACCACAGCCTGCATTTGTACTGTGTGTTAATTTACTGTTGACTGTTTCTCCAAACAATTAATGAAATAGTTATTGCTGCAGTGCCTCATTAGACAAGACTAGATTTATTAAATTGTATTTTAATCTAAAAATAATTAAGAGACTGTGTGAACATTATGGGATAGGTAGGAGGGCTTAATATCATTACTTAGTTTAATAGGACCCTCGACCAGGTTACAATTGCAACACTCTCAAGATAACTGTATTGAATTGGTGTAATTTTGCATTTTCAGATGTTTGCAAATCTAAACACCTGTACATCTATTTATTGGATGCAAAGAAAAGGCAATTAAAAGGATAAGTATTGCGATGCATATAATATATGACGATTTTATTGCCAGTCATCCACAAAGAATTAAAGTGTGAAACGTTAAAGGTTTCTTCTGACAACACTGATTCGTCTCCATCAGGATCCAGCCAGTCAGGATGCCGTTCATCTCCACGACACGACACGACACGATTACTACATTCATTCATCCACATTATTACACTCTTCATTCATCTAATATGGCGCCATTACAGCTGAAAGACCTGTTTCCACCTGGGGACCATTAAAAACCTGCTTCTCAATGATTACACTCCACTCTGCCACTCGTGAGCTCATATTCACAGACTCAACAGGAACAAAGACGACGCTGTGACAACCTTTTGTTTTGGATATGAAGGCATTTGCTTCTTTGTGTTTTACACCTGGATGAATACTGAAACGCATGATGGTCAAGCTGAAAGCAAGTGCGGATGATTTTCATCTCTCAGCATCAGTTCTTCACTCAGTCTAATAGATGGAGGATGATAATAACCTCCAGCTGCGTCTGGTATTGTGCCGTCCTCAGAGTGGTTTTTAGTGTTCACCTCTGCTCTCTGCTGTGAGAAGAGGTTCTTTCCGTCTGCTTTTCTGTCCTCTGCCCCTCATGCTATGTTTTGGTACTTCTGTTTTACCATCTGTACTGCTCTGAACCTCTAAAAAGATGAGACGTTGATGCTGTTGAATGGATGGGTTTTAGATTTGTACATCTCACACATAACTATTGATACTGTTTATTGCTTTGTAATTTTTATACTCAGTCTCACAGCAGCTGCAATACAATATTGTATTCCTTTATCCACAACACTGTGAGGAGCCAATGATGGAGCCACTGCTTCACTACAGTCAGGGAGCAACCTCTGGGTTTGAAAAGTGAATGCAGAAGTGTCTTAAAGCTGCATTCTCTCTAATGGCCATCAGGGGGCGACTCCTCTGGTTGTATAGAAGTCTATGAGAAAATGACTCTACTTCTCTCTTGATTTATTACCTCAGTAAACATTGTAAACATGAGTTTATGGTCTCAATCTCTAGTTTCAAGTCTTCTTCAACACAGCATGATGTTCATTTAGTAAATTATGGTCCATTTAGATAAGATTAAGATTAAAGTTCTGGTGGCAAAAAAAGAAAATGGCGATGACCAAAATGCTGAACTCGAGGCTTCAAAACAGCAGTCCACAAACCAAAGGGTGACGCACTGGGACTTCATCCACTTCTTATTTACAGAATATGGTTACAGTGCCGCGTGACATTAGCATATATTATTGATTATCATGAACATCTTGTTTCCTCGAATGAAAACACAAAACATCCTGTTTGGGCTTTCCCTGTCAGTTCATTTGAACTTTGAGAAGCAGAGCTTAGAAAAGATTGGACTTTCAAAGCGCAGGCAATAGATAAGTGTGAAGCCCTAACCATGTATGCTTCTTTTTTTTCTTTGTGATTGGTTGACAGAGGCGTGTGACAGCACGTTGGTGTCCAATCTGCCGCCATTGTCCTTCAGAAGTTCCTCACAGCTGTCCAGCAGTCACGCTCCGGGCTTCGCCAAACTTAACAGGAGAGACGGTAAGGAAGACAGATTGGATTATAGACTGGAGAATGTGTAATGAGTGGAAACTAAACGCTGGATTTTACAGGATGATTTGGCTGAATATTAGACTGCATCGTCTACCTTACATGACAAAAAGTGAGTGGTTGAAGTGTAGTTGATTTATAGGTTCAAACAGTTAATAATATTGGCTAGTGTCAGAATTCAGAACAAACCTCACACATTTAATCCTGGTATGAATTAACTCCACTTCCCTGAAACCTTTTTTAAAATAAAATCTCAGTCATATTTTTTTAGCTTAATTTTAAATGTAATGCAATTTATAGGATTTTTGAAAGATTTATGTTTTCTGTTTTTTGTGTGAAACACACAAGAAACTCATGCTACTAAATAGATCAATGCAACTAAGTTTGATGATTTAAACTCGTTTTTTCTGTACGTGATGCTATTAAAGTGGAGAAATTCACTCCTGTGTTACTGAGGTTCTGCTCTTCAGCAGAGGAGCTCAGTGGAGAAAATATGTTTGTATACGTTCAGGACACGAATCACTAAACCTAACAAAAATGTATTGGATTTGCAAAGACTGACAGACAGCTTGCTTGTGACTCGCTTAGAGGGAGGCAGAGGATCAGAATAATTTCTAAAAGACAAGACAAAATAAAAGCAGAAACAAGCTATAGCTGATTCGCCCCGACTTTATTCTCTAGATGCTGTTTGTATTGAAGGTTTATGCTGGAAGGATAAGTGTGAATGTTTGCCAGCCCAACATAAAACCCCAGCAGGGAGTCCTGTGCTGGATGCCGTCGTGAGACAAAGTGAAGATCATGGTTTGTTGTGGAGCGTTCTGCAGGGGGGGCTCGACTGCTTTATCCCCACATCAAAGCCCAGAATCAGCTGGGAGGGTGAGATGGGTTTAATCTGGATCTGAATAATTTTCACCACCTGCGAAACTAAAGGAAGCAGAGCCTGCAGAGCACGGCTCAGGCCTCAGGTCGCTTAGAGGTTGAGACTTTAAGCGAACATTGTTTTTGCTGCTAAGCGTGCTTGTATGCTCACTTTCTTTGCTGAAGTGTACATGCAACAACCAGGCTCTGAAAAGCTTTTAAACAGTGAAAATACTAATAACAATATTTGTATTGCATCTTTCTTAACTATGTTACAAAGAAAACTACAAAGAAAATACAATAAAACAATAACTGGAAAGGCAGTTAATAGAGTGCAGATCTCTGCAGGTGTGACATGTTCATCATATGAAGTTGTGTGTCAATAGGTTGTTGCGCTGCCCAAAATTCCATTAATGCTGCTTTAAAAATTACGTAACTTTTATCACCATAAAACAGCTGAGCATACTTTTCAAACCTGCAGTAGTTTAGATTGTATGTACTGTACATGCATCATACTGCATGTGAAAAATTCATCAGACTCCCTCTCATTCATAATAATCATCATGTCAACATGAGAAAACGCAGGGAGCTACTGCTGAGGGCATCATAACACAGGTTCACCCTTTACTTTACCACTGCACTTTTTAAAACTCGTTGGTAGATAAGGAGAGCTGTTAGAGTCACATATCCTCCCCAACTGCATTAGCGGTGCAAAGCTCACACGGTTCCAGCTGTTTGCTGAGGAAATCGGTGAACAGATGAACGTCTCCGTCTCATCTTTATTTCCCGCTGCTGCCGCTAATTCCCTGCCTCCTCCGGTCGCTCTCTCCGAGGAGCAGCTTTGCTTTCAGTTGATTTACTCACTAAACGAACAGGTTATCAGAGCCTGCGATACCACCTACAAGATAAATGCAGGTATTTTGTCTATGGGCTTTATAATCCTAGATAACAATGGAATGCATTTAAAATGTAATAATCTACTTCACTTTAGAGGTTTCTGTAGAACCAGGGAATTTATCTCATGGTGACTGAGATGCATTCAAAACGTGGCTGATGCACAACACTCTCAATTAAGACTAAAGGCCTTTACACACCGGGGGCATTTTCTTTTTTATGTGTTTGATTTATGCGCACATCACCATGTTTTTTTCAAACTGTTTTTGTCAGGAGCACTTTCACACAGGACGCAAAAAGAGCGACGCCATTCTTTTATGGAGCAAAGGTCTATTTTCTGAGCTTTTCGCACAGCAGATAAAGACATGTACTAATCACGTTGTGCAGAATGGGCTGAATTGTGCCTATATTTATATTCATATCAAGTTATTGTTACTCCAACCTTGACGAAGGCAGCACCAACCAGATCCACTCCTAACATTTTTATCTTTTACAATAAAAGCCTTGGGCAAAAACATTATTGCGGGCGGGTATTTTTCATTTTTGTGTCCATTATTTGTGCAGCTGGTGATAACAGACTAAAAAGGCATCACTGATTAAAACAAATGATGGTATTGTGTTTTTTTATTGTTTAGTAGAATAACATATTTTGTGTTGAAGGCTATCGCGGCCATTGGCTGTGATGCATCAGTCACATTGTTGCTGAAGCCCCCTAAAATGTTATTCAGCCCCCCCCCAAATAATTTGTCATTATTGGCTTTAAAAAAAACCCCAAAAAAAACACTTTTTTTTTTTTGGTGATGTCATTAAATTAAACTATTGTTTCTATGTATAGTGTCTTTTTAAAATAAATATCCGTCTTCACAGGAAATAAGGTCTAGGAAAAGAGCTTGGTTGACTTTAACTTTTTAGCCACTCACGTCACTTCCGAGTGACTCATGACTCTCGTGTGAATATGACTCTACTTCTCACTTAACTTATTCCCTCAGTAAACATTGTAAGCATGAGTTTATGGTCTCAATCTCTAGTATTCTTCAATACAGCATCATGTTCATTTCCTAAATTATGGTCACATTTAGAGTAAAATTGACAATAAAGCAGAGTATGCTTTAGGGTGGGGCTCCTTGGTGATTGACAGGTAGCTGCCATGAGACATATTTGGTGTCTCTACCTCACTTCTCCGCAGTTCAACTAATGTCACTTCCGCTCAAGATGGCGGTGGCCAAAATGCCAAAACCGCAGTCCACAAACCAATGGGTGACGTCCTGATGACTAAGTCCTCCTTCTATGGTCAGGACACCAAAAACACACTAAAGAGTCCATCACCTGGATCTCGCCATTCATGCACGGCATGAGCCCAATCCCCACTCTATTCTTTTAAAAGATGTTAACTCGCTCAATCTTTCTCAACATGAATCAGAGATGTTGTTTTCTTCATCTGGCGCCGGTAATCCATAGCCAGTTGATACAGTCTTTGTTGAGACCTACAGCATGGCATGGTTTAACGGATTATGGCGTGCTTAACATGCAGGCAAAGGCTTCAGCTCAGAAAGTCCACAAATACCCTCTTTGAGGTTCTTTATTGCCACACACACACACACACACACACAGAAAAACGATGCTTATCACACAAAGCTGAACAGTGATAAATGTGTGTGCCGGTCTAAAGCATGCATGGAGATTATATTTTATACAGAGCAGTTTCTTCTGAAAGGTGGCACACTCACTATGTTGCTCATGCACATCATTTTTACATCTGGTGCCGGGATTGAAAATCTCTGGCAGGTGGCTGATTGGAGATAAATGTCTCTTTCACCAAGAAGCTGCTGGATGATTGATTCACTATGTTGGGCTTCCCACCGCTCTGTGTAGATCCTCAGTGAGTCTTATTCTTCATTTTGATTTCCCATTTACACCTTTTATCTTTGATTTCTCGCCCATCCGACTGTCTTCCTTGCTTTAGATTACGATCTTTTAAATGCTCTTCTGCATTGACTTTGTTCTGTTGTAATAATTACTTTCACTTCCTCCGCAGACACGTCTTTCATCTGTAAGACCTAATTCAGCCAGCTCTGTCTTACTGTTTTATTTTATTGTCGGGCAACAGTGACAGTCAGTGATGCTGTTGCAATTATGTTGGAATCAAATGTATCCACAGTAATCATTTTGCATCTAAACTAGATTGGCCTGTTCTGGTTGTGTGAATGGATTGCCAACTAATTGCTTTCCATGTGCATGTTCAGTTCGTACTTAATTGTAAAGTTCCAGTGTTACACTTGAGACTCCAATCGAAATATGTTTGCCTGAAGGGGACATCCGATGTTTTCCAGCCTCCCATTAGGATCTCTGTCCGTCTGACATGTTATCAGGTTGCTGAAATTACCATCCAGGCTTGGTATTCTCACGCAAACTACGAGCTCTCACTCCAAGTATATACCAGTCTGCCTGTTACATGTCTCTCTTCTGTTCCTTTCAGCTACCCGTCTTCCTGTTCACTTTCCTACCCGTCTCTTCCTCTGCCTGTCCGGTCTTTTCCATTGCGCTTGACTCTTCATTTCTCTCATGTCTTTTCTCTTTGCATGTTCCCGTCTGTCCTCCATACCCATCAGGTGGAATATCGGTGCATTATTGATGATTCAGCAGTCCTTTCTTAACTCTATCCATCCATCTTGTTCTTATAGTGAAGCTGGTGTCCGGAGCGGACTCGCGTCACGCTTGGTTTCCCTTCAACGGTAGAGCAGAATGAGAGCTGTGCAGCCTGACCGGCTCTTATCCTCACCTGTGACATACGCTACCTGTACTGCTCCAATAACAAGAGGAAGACAAATTGAGTTGGTTTCGGGTGTCAGAGCCCTTACCGGTGAAGTGGATTACTGAAGTATCAGACGAGAAGAGAGCAGTCAACCCACCTCAAGTTACGTTTTTGTTTTGTGAAACAGAATTGGCCCTTAATCTTTCAAGATAAATTGAAAGTATAGCCTTATATCAGACTGGCAGAGGAACGTACAGCAATGCTGACAGAGGGGTGAAAGTTCCTGGTATATTTACACCGGGACTTAATGAGGGAAGTAAACACGTGTGTGTTTCAATGAGGAAATGCTGAGGACAGCTGCGCAGGTGTGCTGGTGACAGGCTCCGACAAGATCTAGAAAGATCCATAATGGATGCTGGAGCTGGAGGGAAGAGAGGAGACAGAATAGGACAGAGAGGCAGGTGTCATCATGACCACCGCATAGCCATGGTGGCTCCCTGTGAAGGCTGTGATGCTCTGACACACAATTATACACCATGTCAGGCTTAGCTGTCCAAGTGGTCAAAAGTGCTTCCCTTCCTTTGCTCTAAATGTATGTTTTTTTGTATTTGTCTGTGTGGTTAATTCAAATGTACAAATATGCACGACAGGCTCACAGACACAGTCTCCACATTCAAATAAAAACAATTTCATCCCGGAGGAGAAAATACAGCATGGCTCTCAAACCGTTTTGGGGTCAGCAAAGTTTTCTCGTTATGATTTGACAGTTTCCATTTGCTAGTTAAGCAAAGCTTCTCAACATCAATCACACAGATTGCACCACCATTGGGGCAATCGGGATTGGTAACGCCCCTGACATTGGAGTTTGTAGTTCTCATTGACTGGCAGAGCAGTGATGTCACACTTCTGACCGTCATTAACACATTCCTCAGTGGCTGGTTAAAGTGGGTTCTTTGACAGACACAAGGGACAGAAGGAAAACAGGGAGATCTATTTGATTTATAGTGACATCCGTGTCGGAAAGTGTTCAGACCGCCAGCCATCACTTCCCTTCTGTTTCAATTATATCTGTCAGGGTGGACACAGTAAATCTGTGTAACGCCGCTCTGTCTCTGAGCTGTTTCCTTCTGATTCCCTCTTTTTCTTTCCCAGTCTAATCTCCATGAGTAAAGGTCAGAGTGTCTGCTCTTTTCTGTTCTCCTCTTACTGGACACGTCCGTTAGTCAACTGCTTATTAGCTTTGGCCTTTAGCTCTTTAAAGATCAGGTTCCATCAACCGCTAGACCGATTTTTATTTTTCACTGCTGAGCTTTTCTCCTCTGCCTGCCACCACAAATTGTTCAGAGACAAAGTGAGAGAATATGGAGACTGATTTATTTTCCAGTCCTACTTTTCACACTCAACTTTGGTAGCAATTAGTATTACTTCAACACATAAATAAAAGGCAAAGATTTAACGAAGATTTAATGAAAATACCGAAAGAAGACATTTTGCCATGACTGGATTCCTGTACTTAAGATTTAGTGGATCAAATATTTTACCCTGAAACCTCCTGCAAACCTATCCTTCTTGAATTTTAAGTATTTTATTTGCATCTTTGGCATTTTGTCTTTATTGGACATGTTACAGAGGAGAGCCTCAGGAAACAACGCAAACGTTGTGGATTTGAACCAGCGGCGTTGCAGTTTCATGGGTTTTGTTTTGTGGGAATCTCTGAAAGCTGAAAGTCTGTGAAGGTCCATTTATTGGAATGAAGAAAATATCATTATTTGCCCAAGACCTCGAAGGTTTGCATGGACCCCTGTGCGGACATCTGTGCACCCCCTTAAAATGTGTGACCGTGTTCACTGGACGCACTAAAGGCATGTCACCTGCAAGCTTGACACACCTCAGTGTCCTGGGAAATCTGAGCATTGCCAGGGTGCTGGAAGGGAGCCTCTTGTGGATTGACAATGTCAGATTCAGGAGGACGAATGCAAATTCTGTCTTCGTTGCGCTACGATTGAACAACTCTTCACAATGCAGGGTCATGGAACTTTGCCCAGTTTGTCCAAAACCTTGGAGGAGGTTTGTGTCTCTCTGAGTATTTTGTGACAGTTACTGTGAGGATACGGGGTGCCAGGGCTGTTACATAAGAGCCATCCTGCTTGTTGGTTGTTTGCTGCCAAACTCTCAGTTCAGTGCATACAGTACTCCTGAAGTTCCAACATCTCCTCTAGGTCCCTGCTTGTTGACTTTAGCTATTTAGCCGAATGCTGAACCACACAAGTCACACACAGAATGACTAACTTTGTGTGGCAGAAAGACTCTTTAGGCTCACATTGCCTTCAGCTCCTCTTCCAAAGATGAATAGCTCAGCACTGTCCCCTGGAGGCTTAGGATACATTCTGTTGGTTGCTTTGTTTCAAAATGTTAGCTTCCTGCTGCTGCAACAACAAACAGACAACAGCATGGTAACATGAGGACAAGTGACATTTACATTGTTTGTTTGTCTGTTTTAATGCTTTCCAAGAGCTCATTGACTCCCAATGTGTGTGTGTGTGTAGTGTCTTGCTCTTCCTCTGTATTACTACTTCATGATTGTGCTGTGCTCTGTTTAATTGAGTGTGTGTGTGTGTGTGTGTGTGTGTGTGTGTGTGTGGGACGCTGGTCAGCAGCCTCCTCCTTCAGAATCGTCCATCTGGCGTTGGAGCTCTGAGGCATCGCTTTGACCTGACAAAGCACTTTCCAACACGCACACACACACCCTTGTACTTACATCTTTGTGAGGACACTCAATGACATAATAAATTCCCTAGCCACTTACCCTAACCCTACACTAAAACTAATTCTAACCTGAAGCTTAAAACCAAGTCTCAACCCTCACACCGGCCTTTGAAGTTCTGTCCCAAAGTAGGGACCGGCCAAAACGTCCTTACTTTCCAAATATGTCCTCACATTGAAGGTTTAAGTTGGTCCACACAAAGATATGAGTTCACAAACTGACTCTGAAAACACAAGATACATTTCATGAGCTTGGATGAGGCTAATCAATACCACCACAGACTTTATTGAAAATGTTTGCGGATAAGACATATTGCATAATAAGCAATACACAGGAAATGCCGCAAGCCTGTTGAATTTTAAATACTCATCAGTCTTTCTTTCATCAATCCCTCTTTTCAGTTCTTTCAACCTGTTCATCTAAAATACAACTGATCAATATATCACAACACTGCTCTTTGTTGGTGATACTTAATACGGGACAGGATGCAGACCTGCAGGGGTACTGTAAAACTAATCAATGCTTGGCACCACAACCTCCAATTGTTGATATTCTATATAGCAAAGGATGCAGAGCTGCAAACAAACTATACAACTAATCAATAGATCACGCCACAGCCTCTTAGCAATGCTATATTTGATATGAGGATGCTAATGGTCTTGCAGTCTGTGCAACAGATCAATGCATGGCAGCTCAACCGCATATTGATCATGTTTTGTTTCGGAAATGCAATACTCAACAATGTGCAGTAAACTTGTTTGTCGTGAACTAATTCCAGTAAAATATCTCAGCAATGAGGTCAAAGGAGATACCAGCAAATGGATCTTATGTCAGGACATTGAGAGGAGCAAATGTGGCTCTATGGATGGCTCCGACACTTTGGTCCAGACTAATATATATCTCACCAACTACTGCACGGATTGCCATGAAATATGGCCCAGGATAAACTGCAGTGGCTTCCTATAGTGCCACAATGAGGCATTTTATTTTGTCCTGTACTTAAGTTTTGGAACAATTACCTGTTGTTACGTTCCCCGTTTGGCATCTAAGGGATGCGGGGAGTAATGGTGTAAATTTCCCGGGGAAAGAGAGAATGAGCAATGATGACATTTTAACAAAAGGAGTATTTATTGCATAAATAGCTAGCTGCTTGCACGGCAGCAAAAGAAAACTACTTTCTGATAGAAAGAAAGCGACACGATACAGACAACAGCCCACACGGCTGGAACAAAGGTGCCAATGGTCCACAGCAACACACATGCAGCTCCACCACTACGCGTTGCCCAAGGGGTTGTCCTTCTGGAGCTCCTCTCCTCTTATCCACCGCTAATCGCGATTGAACGCAGCCGCGTCCAATCAGCCGCTGCAGCTGGCATCCGGGACAGAGGGTGGCACCCGAGAGGACACTGAGGGTAAACAGAGGGAAAGCACAAACACAACACGGCACGTAACACCTGTGTAGTAGCAAAAGAATTTTTAAAAAAACATCTAATTGTGATTATTTTGACTTCTATTGCAATGAAATATGATTTGCAGTATTAGAGGGAATTGTAATCATTATTATATTATTGTGGAAAAACAGTGATTATGGTGTGATTTTTGTGGGGATCTGTTGCAAACAAAGATGTTTTCTTGAGTCTGTAGAATATGATTTGGAGGCCATGACCTCTGCAGCATGGCAATATTTAGTTTAAAATGGTATTTTGACACATGTTTTGCCTTGAAAACATATTGTGCCTTCTGCGATGTGAAAATTGCAGCAGGCCATTTTGCGATAACAAAAACATTTGATTTGATGCATAATGGTGCATTTGTGTGCTGTGTGGAAAAGAAGTAAGAAAGCGTGTCGACCAGAAAGCCCGCTAAACAACGTTGCATTGTGTCATTAGAGAAAGAAATCTCATTCTTAAGACAAATGTCAAACCAGCATGAAAAGCTGTGGAGGCGGCAGGTTTGTAAATTGGAAAATTTAACACAATTTGAGGCTTTCATTCTGATGAATGTCTTCTTTTGATGTATGAAGACAAATTGACTCATAAAAGGATAAAAGGAAATGTTCTGTCTAATACACAATAATTCTGAGTGCAATAAATTATTTTATATTCAATTTTCTACATTAAATAAATCTTGCAGTGTCTTGGAATGAAACCAATAACCTGTCCCAACACAACAAGCTATAAATACTGTTCAACTATGGCACAATAATGTGCTATTATTCAGGCTGTGTAACAATATCAGACTTAAAGGTCAACGCACGTATACTTGTGCCTCGTAGAATGAAATATAATGTATTAATCTCTCTCCCTGCAGGAGCTGGAGGCTGGTCTCCTCTCACCTCAGACAGGTATCAGTGGCTGGAGGTCGACCTCGGCGAGCGGACCAAGATCACCGCTGTCGCGACTCAGGGCCGCTACGGCAGCTCTGATTGGCTGACGTCGTACCTGCTGATGTTCAGCGACACGGGACACAACTGGAAGCAGTGCAGACAGGAGGACAGTATAGGGGTGAGTCCGTAGGTGGTGTTTCTTCACTAAGATGTTTCTCTAAAATGTATTTTATGTAAGCAATTTAAAATAAACATATACAGGAGACACGACTTTACAAATACCCTATTCAAGTGTTAGGTAGTCACAGTATTGTCTGGCAAACAGAAGGTAGCTAAGGCTTAGTTAAATGTATCTCAAACTAACGTAGAAAATGTGTCAAAAATACAGTATGTGTGAAGAGATGTGTAAATGAATTCACAGTGAACACTAAACATGTGTTGCACACTCTTAACTCTTGCTTGCCATTAATTGAATAGCCCTCTCATTAAATGCATCGTCTTGTAAGTCACACTGGCAGGAAGTATTTTTGGTGAACATGTCTTTTAAAACAATACTCGTGTGTTCGGAGCGAGTTTTCTGAAATGTTTAAAAACGCAAAAGAAATATTGTAATGCTAATTTTTTGTGAATTTAGGAGAAATCTGCAGATTCAAGTCGACATCAGACATCTATAGTAAAATAAACACCTAATTGTGTATTTTGGACATTTTATTTACACTAGCCTCAAAGAAGACAAAAAGATTTTTAAAAAATAAGCAAAATAGCCCAATATCTCAAAATGATGAGTATGGTGGTTTAAAAGAGTACCACCTTAAGTACTGTCACAAACAGTTCTGTGAGTATCAGGTAAGAGTTCATTACAATTCATTTGCCTGCACTTCCACACTCATAGTTACAGAGGATATGGTGTTTAGCAGTGCCGGTCTGCAGGGATCAGTCCATCCTGAGGAGATAATCACAGTCATCAGGAGCCTTTGACTCTTCATTAATAATGGATGAACCAATGAAAGAGCTCTGCTGACTGCAGACCTGTTGCCAAAACAGTTACGCTGCCGTTGATGGACACAGAGCGAGACAGAGAGGCAGCCGAGCGTCTCTTTCCTGGCTGAGACGACGCGTTGCGTCCTGGAGCGCGGCCAGATGCTGAAACCAATGAGGACAAATTCCACTGCGTCAAAGCTGTGGTGCTCTTACACACATGTTCAATCTCTCTCTCTGTTTGTTTGCTTTTTTCTTCCAAGAATAACAATAAAGTCATGAGAACGGATGGGACAGCTTGAAGTGGTGAATCAGCTGTGTTACATATTTCTATGTGCACTTTAAAGTTTCTGTATTGAAGCGGCACAAATTGATAAAACTACTTCAATTGCGACAAAAAAGTTTTTAGGCTCTTCTGAGGTAGTTTCTGCCTTTGTCGAAAAAAGAGTTGATGCGCTAGATGGATTATGGAAACGCTTTTGACGAATACATTTTGACGTAATGTCAGAAAGGCAGCTGGTCTCTGTAGAGCTGATTAATGAAGAAATCCGTCAGGTGGACAGCGGCGGCAGCGAGGCATCACCTCCCACCTCCTGGTACACACACACAACTCTTCTTCTGTGTTGTTCCGTGTTGGCCTTGTATTTGTCCCGCTGTGGTGATGGTGCACGGTTCAGTACGCAGCCACAGGAATACTAAGTGGTTCTGATCTTGTTGGTGTTGCAAACACGGTGATGAATCCTGTCCACACAGAGAGCCAGTTGAGTTACTTACTCTCCTTCTGAGCCTCATACCAACTCAAATATAGAACATTTCCCATTTCTATTTGCGTGGACATTTATCCCGGGTAAACCCACATCTGTTACAGCGGTGCAGAGAGGAGCTTTTGATTAGAAGGAGAGCCGAGGCAATTTCCCCCCCATGGAAGGAATCCAGCTAATCTCAGCACTGAGGATGGTCTCTGAGAGAGCAGAGGACGACTTCTCACGGCTTAAAGACACGTTGATCTGACACTCTGCATAAACTGAGCACAATCCCAGTCGCATTTCAAAGTGTTTCCCAACTTCTGTGCATTAGTCAGTCGAGCTCACAGTCAGTCAAAGGAGAGAGTTGATCTGCTTTTAGCTTAGAAACCAGCAGAGTGGAAGTTCTCTTTTTATTACTTTGAGGGGTTTTTTGTGTAAAAAAAAAAGAAAGTTTGTGAGTGAAAACAAGAACTTCTCATCTGCTTAACACGTTTTCCATTCCATTGAGTAACTCATAAGCAACATCCAAACCCACCTGTTGTGTAAAGTCATTAAATGGCTGGTAATTAACAGTGTGAACATAGGAACCAGCAGTGTACGCCTCCTGAACATTCTGTGTGAATAGACTTCCTTCCCATGAGTCTAATCGACGACATACACAGAAGTATAATCACACACCAAACAAATATGTTGCTTGTGCATCCAGCAGTGAATTTAATTGGCTCCTTTTAGCTGAAAGAACAACAAACATTTTTGATATTGGGCATCAAAACATCAAACGATACATTATAAGACATCTCTCTTCATCATATGAAGACTTCCCTCTCATGATTTCAGAGGAATTAATAAGTTAATTATGTGTCTCAGCTTTTATTCAGCAGTGGGGGAGCCAGTTAACCTGCATGTCAACTTCAAGGGAGGGATGTAATTAGGATGGATAGGCAGTTGAGAGCGATAGAAAGCATTCAGCCGATCAGTTCACGCTTTATATTCCAGACTTTGAAGAAAATGTTCATTGGGAATCCAGAAGAATATCATATGAAAATAAACTACTTTACTTACAAATGATGGCAAGACAAAGTATTTCCACTGTAAGTGCTTTAACAACGTATCCTCGTGGTTCACATGATGGTGTTTTCATACGCATGTCCAGCAACGTGAGCGATCAGTGCCTTTTGATCACATCAACCCTTTGAGCAGTCATTTCTGCATCGACTGGAGAATTAGTGTCACCAGCAGTTAATGTTGATGAACCCAGCTCCTAATCGTCCCTTTAATCTAATGGCTGTCTTCTGCTCGGTTTAAATTTGTGTTATATTTGGATAAAAACCTGACTTCTGTGCGAAATGTAATTCTACAAAGTAAACAAATAAAGAGATAAATAAATAAACTTATTTTTGTGTGTTTTTTACTTTTTGGTATTTATTATGTTTGTAATTTCAGTCTTTTCCAGGTAACAGTAATGCGGACAGCGTGGTTCAGTACAAACTGCAGCAGCCGGCCATCGCTCGCTTCCTCCGCCTCATTCCTCTGGACTGGAACCCCAGCGGGAGGATCGGACTCCGGCTGGAGACCTACGGGTGTCCTTACAGTAAGTCCTTTCTTTATCACCGGCCTGACTGGACTCACACTCTTTATTTTGTCAAGAATAAAAGCCGTTTTTCATCTGTGCAATGCAAAAGTGCGATGTGGGAATCCGGAAAACAGCTAACATTAGCTGTTGTGGCTAGCAAATGAGTAATTCTAGTTTGCAAAGGGTCTCTATTCTGCTGAGCTGTTTTAAACTTTCCACCAACAAATTCTTAAAATACTTAGTTATTTATACATGTCCATGTATACTCAAAGATAGTTACAGTCATTTGCTTTTAGTTGTGTTAAAACTCTCTCAGCCACAAAGGCATCACCGCAGCTTTGCCCAAATCCCCAACTAGAACAAACCATTAACTATTAATATCACACTTTTGTGTTTTTGGTTTAAGGACCCGGCATTAGTTTAAGGTTTTTGTTTGAATGCCTCACTACAAAGTTACATAATGAGAATGACCATTTCCTGAACGCTGAATCTCTTTTTGTCTTCCAGCCTCTGACGTTGTGAGTTTGGACGGCGGCAGCAGCAGTCTGGTGTACAGGTTGAGTCCCGGGCTGCGGGGGACGTCCAGAGAGGTCGTCTCTCTGAAGTTTAAAACCCTGAGGAATTCTGGGACACTGCTGCACGCAGAGGGAGAGGGAGGACTCGGGCTGAGTCTGGAGTTAGAGAGAGGAAATCTGCTGCTGCTGCTCAGACAAGGTACAGCACAATATTCATACTGATATCTGATACATTGGAGGACTGAAAAAGTTGTATACATACTAGCTTTATCTGCAGAAGGATAGCATGACCCAATCTACCTTTATTAGAAGAAATGGTAGGCTTAAAACGCTTATATTATTGACATATCCACTCAATGGATATGTCAATAAAAATGAACAAACTATTTGATGGGCAAGAAAACATTTTATTTGCTTGACATGTAATTAGTGAGTCACTTTGTAGATTGTATTGGTTCAGAATATCTGTATATGTAGATTGTTGACAATATAAAGCCCTCTGAGATAACTTTAGATTGGTTGTGGTTGGTTGAGGTGGGCGACACGCACGCTGCCGCCTGATTGGTTTAAATCTTGGCCCACGCTCCGCTGCTGCATCTCAGTCTAGTTGCAGACATGATGGATGGTACCCGCTCTCTGTAGCATGTGTTAGGACCGGACTCTGCAAGACGTGATGCATGGCTTACAGCCTGTACATAGGTAGGTGTGTGTGTGTGTGTGTGTGTGTGTGTGTGTGTGTGTGTGTGTGTGTTTAAATGGGGTTAAACCAGAGGTTGTCAGGCTGCCATGCTGAATCATCACCATATGGCTCACCTCTCATCAGGAACCCCATCTGACTGCTTAGATACTTTCTCCATCCATCCCTCCCCCACTTCATCTCTCTCTACCTCCCTCCATTCTTCCCTTCTCTTTGCCTCCTTCACCTTGCACCATTTCCTCATCTTTCTCTTTGGCAGTCTGTTCTTTCCACACGTTATCCCTACATCCTTACATCTTTTCTTTCCTCCATCCATCTTTTTCTCCAAGTTCTCTTGAACTCTATGACTGAGATTTATTAGGCCACAGGGCTACGCATTAAGGATGTCTTCTTTTGTCACATTAATGACACAGTGAAATAGACAAATACACGTTCTAATTCAGGTGTTTAGTTGTCTCTGGTTACTTGTCTTGTACTTGAGGGTGTGTACACAGAAACGTATGCCAGCAGGTGTGATTAGCACTCACAGACAGACGGGTTGAGATAAAGTTTCGCTTCACTGAATCAGAAAACAGAGCAAAGGTCAAACCCAGGTAGACAGTCAGAACATGGTGATCAGGAAATGAGACACAGGTGGACACAGGTGGGCCATTGTCAGATGATGGAAAAGGGGTTACTGCAGGGCAGGAGGGAGTGGACAGGATGGCTTGTAAGGTTGCAGGGAAAACATAGAGAAACAGAGAACAGAAAGCATGAATAGGAGGTGTGTATTTGGATATTAGTTGGCCAAAACTTTGATTACATTTTAGATTGTGGTTGAGATTATTCATTTCTCTCTCATCCTAATTACTGTTGTCTGTCTCTACAGATCAACTAATCCTTTGTTTTTAGCATCACAACAAGAGATGTTTTCAGCTCTTCATGCTTCATATATCTCAACATCTTTTCTGTTTTCTTTTTACTATTGCAGCTCTCAACCCTTTTTTCTCTTAGTTGGATGCACTTCATCATTCCGTCTCTCATTATTTCTGTCTCAGCCTTTCTGCCTCTCTCTTTCTCTCTACAAAGGCTTTCTGGTTACACATTGTGTAATTCAGGTCGTCTGCTGTGTGCACGGTCTGCTCTGCTCTGTTAACACCAACACCTCCAGGTCTGACCCGCCCGGAGCAGATGTGGTTGGCTTTTATGAGGCAACACTCAGTAAGAGCCCTTCACAGAAACAGCAGCTTTGTCCTGGTTAACATGAGGATACAAAACATTAATAGATACAAACTTGATGGTAGACTAGCTAGTTGTTTTCTTACATTCATGTTGAAGTTTGAGTTCAGCCTCCAAGGCACAGCACTCCAACACACGCCAACAGGTGCCAACAGAAAAATATTAAACTTAACATAAACAATGAATACAATTAAATAAGCTAATTTCTTAAAAGTATTCCTTTCATCTTCTTTTAAATTAGATTATATTTAAGGTGCAAACAAAACAGGGACTTGTGAGTTGTCATGTGATTCGCTTCAGTGCTTTTAATGCAGGCACTTTTACATTTATTGCTTTTGTCTTTGGTTTTGACATGTTTGAAAACGTGAAATAAGACACAGTTAATGTAAATGTCACTTTGCTAGTTGTTGTACAGCTTGAATAAACATGGTTTAATACAGTAAGATTCATATCTTCTACGCTAAACCATTCACTTCTGCTTTACGTTCATCAACATGTCAGCCTGCTGTATTGTATCTTTGTATCTCATAACTCAGCCCAGTGCTTTCCTGTGACTCAAGTCATTTTAGGAAAACAAACATGCAGGAGGGTTGCTCCAATGCATGATTTAACTCTAAGGCCTTGTTTGAACTAAGCGCTTATACAAAGTCAGCAAGCCATCTCACCCCACCTTCCTTATGAGATAAAAACCTTTGAAAGACAAGATCCTACGACATCCTAATGTGTGCTATCTGAAATATTTGCTTTCCCTAAGTGTTTACAGTCTGAAAATGATGTTTGGAGTTGATTACACTGACAGCAGCTCCTGATAAGGGCCATGTTATCTTCCTGCATGATCCCATCTAGAGTCAATGTGAACAGCTGTAATGAAATTGCAGACAGGATACTTTGGAGGGAGAAAACTAAGCGTTCAGCAGAGGCTGCAAAGAATAAGGCAAACATATCCACCCAGTCCCTCCTCGATATTAATAAAAGAATACGCAGTCATTTAATCTGTTATATGCATACTCGCTCTTCTTCAGCTGCAGCGTTACAACCATGACTTTATGTCAAGGAGAACAAGTAACATAACAAGTTTGTCCAACCTTTTGCAAAAACGGGACCAAAACCACAAGAAAAGGCTGAAGCACTTTAAGACTTTAAGTGGAGGCTAACAATGAATGGCATTTATGAAAATGATTAACAGAGAAACCAACTAATGTTGCAGAAAGGGAAGCAAAATCGGCAAACGGGCGTCCAAGGCCAAATCCACACTAACTGAAAAACAGAAGCTAATTCAGGGCATTTGTCCAGACAGAGTTTTTCTCTGATGGAGAGAATGCAGTGCTCCCGCTGTGCATGGGTTATCGCCCCTCTAACCATCGTATGACAGACTGTTTTCTTTCTTTTTATTATATTATATTTGGGCTACTACCCATTTGATTGACATTGCTTTTTAACACGAGCACCGTGTTTGTATGGATTACCCGAAAAGGAGCGCTGATGACAACACAGCGCCTCAGTGAAAAGTTTAGAGATTTTCATTTGAGAATGCTTGGAGCACACGGTCTCTCTCCTAAACTCAGGTAGGGGCTGATTACACCTTAGTGTCATTTTTTAGTTTGATGTACCTCACCAAGTTAATATGACTAACATTAGCTCTAAGATATTTACAGTGCACATTCATGCAACAAAGATACTTGTATTTATTTATCTATTTTTATTTTTGAGAGCCCATTATCTCTCTTCTGTGCCTCCGGCACGCTGACCCGCTGCTCGTTAATATTTCCAGTGCATGTTCATGCTCCCATCGGGAAGTGACCTATTGATTTCTGGCGACCCGCATCACGATTCATGTAATAATCTTGCTCAAGGACTCACTGACGGTACACAGAGGACAGCACTGATTTTCCCCGTTGGTCCAAAAACAATAACTCGACTGACTGCCCTGTCGAGAAACATACATATGCAATTATTGATGTCACTGCACTTCTTTTTTCTCCCTTATGACCTTGATACCGCAGTAAACGGATAAACCACAGAGGAAAATAAAGACGTAAAAAAGGAAAGAGGGGGCTCTGTATATAAATATCAATTCATTTTCTATTTGTTTGAGCTCTCATATTGGTTCCTGCTTTCTCTTTCCAGTCATTCAGCCAGTAATCAAATCATCCATTCAATGAAGCCCTCGATCATAAAGTCCTCTCCCTCTCTTCTGTACCGCCAAAGAAATCTGGTTTCTTCCCATCCTTCCTCTCATATCGATCTCACTGTCTCTCTCCACTCGTCCAAACTGTAACTCATTTCAATAAATATGTTGACAGGACAGACGTATCACGAGGTCTGCATCCTAACGTTCTCTCTCTGGATGAAGTTGTTTCTTCTCATCCGAGCCGCAGACAAATAAGCCCTCTCACATAATGGGCTGCATTATCAGAAATACATTCGTCCATCATCTTCAAACTGTCCCTCCTTCTCTCTTTGAAGTCGCAGTCGTCTCTCCCTAAAGAATATCTAATACATTTTTAATGACTGACTGTTCGTCTCTGTCTACAGTTCCGTCTCTCAGCAGAAACCCAACGTTTCTCTCCCAGTGCTTTAAGGGGTGCAGCAATGGATCCACTAATATGGACCTGCCGGTGCTCATCTATCATTAATGATGTCTCACCATGTTTGCGCTGCAGTTTTTCCTATTCAGCATTAATGACACATTTGGCTTTAGCTCTCAAATACGCTGATATCTTGAAGTCCCGAGTGAGATGAGACAGGCTGACCTCGATGTGCTCCTCTCTGTGAGATACTGAGAAAATTAAAATATTCATCACAATAAAGAAGGTTTTATTGGCCTGATGTTCACTTCTCTTTTTGTCAGATAACAGAAAATAATCTTCATATACTCACTCTTGTCCCCTCACTACTCTCTCCACCTCTTCTCTTCCAGGTACTTCCTCCTCTGAACCCCGGCGTCTCGCTTCCCTCGGCAGCCTGTTGGATGATCAGCATTGGCACCATTTAGCAGTGGAGCGGCGCAGCGCTCACCTCAACCTCACTGTGGACAAACACACGGAGAGGATTCAAATCCCCGCAGAGTTCAGCGGCTGGGACATCGAGCAGGTGGGATAAAAAACAGGACAACAGTACACACAATGTACGTCTTTTAGACATTATTGTAATCCCAATACACCCGCACTGTACAACCACTGATTGTTCAAAATGACCTCGGAGCCAGAGGAAGAGTATGTTGTATTTATATTATTGAATGTGCATGCAACCCTCTGCGTGTGTCTTTTTGTCCCCTCACAGCTGAGTGTAGGGACAGTGCAGAGCCACGGATCTCAGAAAGCAGTCGTCTCCAAGAGGACCTTTCATGGCTGCCTGGAGAACCTTCAGTACAACGGCCTCAACCTGATAGAATTAGCCAAAAACAAAGACCACCAAGTCACTATAATGGTAAGTTTATCAAGCTAAACTTAACCACCTGCTATTAGTTCAGCCTGGGACGGTACATTATCAATCACTGGACAACAGCCTTTGAAACAAAAAGATGAATAAAACAAAAGAGATATAACATTCTACTTGGTGTTCTTTTGTGACTTTTTTATGATTAACTATTCAACACAGTGCATACGTAAGCAAAGACCAGCATGTTCATCTTCCGTGTTGTGGGTCATGTTTTATTTAGTTTGAAGTGATAGGGTTGTTTGTTTTCGGTGTCTTTTATCAGTCTCTCTTGTGTGAATGGATTCCCTCTGTGTTAGATTCCCTTTGTCCCGCCTGGGATTCAATCTTAGTGGTGAAATATGGGCGTTACCACTGGATGCTGCTGCTGCTGCTGCTGAACGAGCTGCTGGACTGGTTAATGAAGCCAGGACAAAGGACTGTAGACAGTGGTTAGACTCCCACTAATGCCTCCTCATCTTGGCCATTAGGACCTTCAGATGTCTCTACGTTCTCGATGAGTGGAGCGAGCTCATCAGAGAGAGGCTGCGAAGCGTTTCTACAGGAAGTAATACATGTTCTCCCATTACAGTAGCAGAAAAACAAAAACATGAATTCTTGGTAAAGAGGTTCAGAGATTTCCCATGCATGGCTAAAGATCTAATAGAGGCAATTGAATGTTGGCTCGGTGGCTCTTAAGGTACTAGCCACAAAGTTATGATCCAATTTAAAACAGAGACTAAATGGTGCTTCATACGGCTCTGCGAGGGGGCATTAACACAAAGAGCATCCGGGTGTTACGGAGGAAGGATTGATGTTGTCAGTGCTGAAGTCCTGCTGTAGGCTTTTGGAGATTTTTAAGTTGACTTTATACACTTGTGTTGTCCGCTCCCAACATGAGTTATTGTACATCATGTTAACTGCACCACAAAGGGCTTTTAGATGTCATCTGTGTTTCCGGAGCATTATAAAGATAGCAGGCTGATATTCCCTGCAGAGGGCTGGGACTGTAATATATAACTGCTGCAGCCTTTGCAATGGACCCGGTGTCATTACCACTACTCAAAACAATGGGCTGTAACAGAGATGTCAAGATATTGTGGTACTGGGCTGACTGTATGCTCTCCTTCTTTTATTTGTATTCTTTATCTCCTTTACCTCCACGCTAGGTGACTTTGGTATGCTCAGTTTGCTCTCCTAATCTTATTCTAAGCCTTGCTGTTATCATTATGGTAATGCCGGTGTCCTCTTAAGGAGACTTGCTGATGAGATCAAGTGACACAAGGTCACATCAGCACGCCCTCTGCAGCTGATTAATATTCATGTTTAATGTTGTTTAATCTCTCTTGTAATCATTTTCTCTCTCTCCACACTGCATGTTTCTCTCTCAGGGCAATGTGACCTTTTCTTGTGCTGAGTCGGTTTCCGTCGCCGTGACGTTCCCGGGCTCCCAGAGCTTCCTCCAGTTGCCAGGGGCGGCTGCGTCCTCGTCGGGGGGCGTGTCCGTTGGGTTCCAGTTCAGGACCTGGAACAAAGCGGGGCTTCTGCTCACCTTTGACCTGCCTCAGGAAGGGGGCGTGGTCTGGCTGTACTTGAGCGAGGCCCGACTCCGGCTGCAGATCCATAAAGCCGGCAGGGCGCTGCTGGAGCTCAGTGCAGGTACACCTACACCTTCAGATCCAAGTTAGTGGTTAGTCTTACATGGATATCAAGACATTGCTGTGCGAGTGAAACGAGTTGGCACCGGTAATTCCATGACAGCAAAATCCTACATTCTATAAAGAAACCATAAATCCAATGAATACTAATTTTGAAATTGTCATCAGATTATTCCAAATAGTAACCTTTTTGTGAACTACTTGTGAACAAGGAGATTTGATGTGCACTGCATGTTGAGAGGGTAAATCACTTTGTAACTTCTGACTTCTTTGAATACATCAGAACACTGATTCAACTTTGCTGATTGTTTTCCCTGAAATACTTTTGCTAAGCTGTCAATGCATCTATCCAATAATACATGAATCATACCAGGAGTGGGGTTCGAACCCACGAGAACATGTGTCCATTGGATCTTAAGTCCAACGCCTTAACCACTCGGCCATCCTGGTGACAATTGATTGCTTTTCTAACAGGAAACAAAGTTATGAAAAAGGTCATGACCCGACTCTAAATCAAACCATATTTCTAATACTTAAGGTTTGAACCAACAAGCACATCTCTCAGTAATAAAGTCTCACAATCGCCTTTGGTTCAGGCGTCTAGTTTACTTTATAATTTACTGTATCGTCCTTATTACCAAAGTAAGTGTTGTGAAGCCGAAGCCACTGTAAGATGACTGCGGTGTGCTCTTTAGCAAAGTATTGTCAGTAAGAAAAATAGAGGAGATAATGAGGTATTGATTCATTCTCTTAACTCCTAACAAGATGCACATTCACACGGCAGACACAGCGTTGCTGGTACTTGTTGCAGATCAATCACAAACAGAACGCAGGAAGCAAGTCGACGCCTGTGTGGTCTGCACTCATCTGCACCTCATGGGTTTTGCTAATCCGTTTGTACCAAGTCCACCACCGATCTTTTCCAAATGATTTTTGGTCTCAACTTATGATCTTGTTGAAAATACTGTTTCAAGGTGAGAAAGACATCATTTTCAAGCTGTGGCAGCTCACGGTGTGATAGGAATGTCGAATTTGGTCATTACTACACGAGTGCCCATGATTGGCTTCAGCCTTGAAATTCATTTTTTGGGGTTCCAACATCTGCTGCAGGTCTTAACAGCTTGGTGTGCAGCCATGAACACTTGGGGGGGAATCAAAATCTATTTTTCAGCAATGCTTGTGTTAATGGGTATTTGGCTCCCAGGTTCTGCTCTGAATGACGGCCAGTGGCATTCGGTGGGGGTGAACTCCAGACGAGGTCGTCTGAGCATCAGTGTGGATAAAGAGGAAGGAGGCAGCGCTCAAGGCAGTCACTCATTCCCTGTCACGGTAGAAAGTCACCTCTTTTTTGGTGGTAAGAGTGGAGCAGGTCAACCGTCTCTTTCTATGCACTTAAACCCCGTCTAGCACCACATACTTATGTGTAATTTGACTGATGATGAAGATCTAAAAATAGTTCATGTATGATGTAAATTCATGATCAATTTACATCTATGGATGTCTTTCAGAATTAAGAATGTCAATAACCATGATATTTCTTAGACAAGAGTAATAATATATCTGAAACAAATTTGATCTGATATGATAGTTTATGGGTTTAAAAAAAATTGTTTTTCATGTGGCCACTTCTCGTACTGATGTTCCCTCTGTCTTCTTTTCAGGTTGCCCTGCTGAAGACGAGAGGCTGACATGCAGAAACCCCTTTAACGTCTTCCAGGGCTGCATGCGTCTCTTAACTCTGGACAACCAAACCGTGGACCTGATAATAGTGCAGCAAAAGCAGCTGGGAATCTTCAGCAACCTGCAGATCGACATGTGTGGAATAATCGACAGGTCAGATCCCCAATAAAAATTGTTTAAACACATTTATGTTGCTTTGCTATTATCTTCTTAATATTCTGCGCCGTGGATAGAGCTGTATCACAACAGTGACATCTTGGAATGAATTCAGTTGAGGTGAAGTAAATCTGCACAGAGCTTTGGCTCACTTTGACACACAAATTGCGACACTAACTTATTGCAAACCTTCTTGAGAGTGCTGACCTTTAAAGGAAGCCATCATGTTAGCAGTGTTTCACCATCCAACTTAATGGAACTCCACTCTGCCAAAGCGTACTAAGAAGTTATTCTGACGCCACAAAGCTTCCAGTACGATGTACTTGGTGAGCACGCATGAATGAATGTTGCTGAGCCACTTCCTGGAACCAACCATGTGTCTTTTTTTAACTTGTTGCATTATTCCAACACCCTGTAATGAAAGTCCACTGACCAGGAGTGGGATTTGAACAAAGTGAGACATGAAGTAAAGACCTATTTATGCTTTTCTACTATTCAACGTCTCATCAAAAGTCTATGACTCTATCCTGTAATAATTAATGCATACTAGGAGTGGTGTTCGAACCCACAAGGGCTTCAGCCCATTGGTACTTAAGACCAACGCCTTAACCACTCAGCCATCCTAGTGACAACAACCATTGATTTACGGGCCAAAAAGTTGCACAAATCCTGTTCTTCAGCAATAAATAAATATTTCCAGGAGTACGAGGAGTTGTATTCAAAAAGTCAATATATCCCCAGAATTTAGGCTCTTATGACCCCACACAGCACTCTGCAGGACCTTTGAGGATGCATGAATTAATTTAGTCGTGCCACTTCCTGGTCAGACTTTTCAAGTCGTTGCATTATATCCCGACCTGTTGTCAAAATTCACCTATCATGTGTGGGATTTGAACCCACAACGACTTGCATCTTGAGTCCAACGCCTTAACCACTCGGGTATGTTGGTGAGATGAGCGCATATCTGATCAGGTCAAAAAAGCCTTCTTGTGAAGATAACGAGGCGTTGAGAAAACAGGTCAATATTTCATTGGATTTTTGGATCCTATACACACCACTGAGATTGTGTGATCAATTCAATCGTAATTACCAGGAGTGGGGTTTCAATCCATGACAGCTTTTGTCATTAAGATATTTAGTACAACACCTCAACCACTCAGTCAGCCTGGTGACTTTAGTTACTCCTTGCTGAACAGGAACAAACAAACAATGTGTGGACAAAAGACCTGCTGATATCTGCCCAATACATTCACCAAAAGCACTGAAACACATCCGTTATAAGAGAGAGACCTTTTCACAATATATGTAAGAAAGATCTCCAGCTGTTTGCTGAAAATAACAAAATATTGAAATATTTCCAGTAGTAGAAGGATTCATTAAGTCATTATATCCCTTGAATTCAAGTCCAATTACCTCATAGTGAGAACAATATTAGTTGAATTACTGCACTGCAATGGAAGAGATACATCATGTGTACCAGACGTGCTTTTGCTCTTGTTGTCGGCAGAATTAAAATAAAGCCAGTTGGGAATTAGTCATGATTAATGAGACCTTGTCATCATGAGTGGTGGTTAAACGAAAGAAAGATATACACTTTGTTTTTGGACAGAATCATACTATTACATAAGGAATTGTTTTGCAATGTATATTGTGATTTTGTTTTCTGAAGTCAATCATTTGTAAAGCTTTTGTTGTTTACCTATTAGCTTATCTCATTCAGACAGAAAACTAGGGAACAGTTTGTCTCTTGTAGCTTCTAGAATTTGCTTCCCGGGCAAAATTAAACCCAATGTGTGATTTGACGGACAGAAATACCTGCGTCGTTCTGTCAAACAGTCGTGTGTTGTGTCGGTTCTTAAGCAGAAACGTTTCTTCTCTCCTCCATTGTTTTGTCATCCAACATTTTTTGAGAAGCAACTTTTTGTTCATCTTTCTTTCTTTTCTCTCTGCTGACAGAGTAATGTGTTTGTGAGAGGAAGCGCGGCAGCGTGTTAGAGAGAGACTGCACCATCCAGGACCCACACACACACACACACACACACACACACACACACACACACGTGACAATTGTATTCCTGCAGATATCTGGCTGTGCTGCTTTGACTTTTCTTTTATATTTTTAGCTCTTTTGTGTTTTTGATTGACAGGTAGATTAATACATCAGTAATAGATGCAATTATAGCAATTAGTTGAAAGGAATATGTCACGCTACATAAATGTCATTTCCAATGGAATCATCTCCACGTAGAGGGATTAAGCGTTTGTTTGACTTTATCAAGTTTAGCCAATGAGGCTTACTCTTACTTCATCATCGTTTTGGTTGCTCAGTGATAGCAGGCGCAACAGTAGCCCCGCCCCCCCAAAGCACCTGGCGCTTTCCAAGCATTTTCAGATGCAACATGTAAAATGGCCCCTATCTCCCCCCTCGATTTAAGAGCTATCTTTGCATATTCAATCAGAACACACTGGGAATATTCTAGAGGGAGGCTTAAAGAGCCAGGCGCTGAAACGGAGCGTTTCAGACAGAGAGTGAATACTCAGACAGACAGCAGGAGAAAAATAATGTGTTTAAAACATTAAAGCATGCAAACCCAAAGTCCAAGTATGAACCTGAATTGGACTTGACTATGAAAGTTAGTTGAGTGAGCTAATTGTCTGGCATTGGGGACAGAATAAGTCATGCACTTCTTCTCAAATTGTAAGAATGATTTAATGACTTGGAAATAATACAGGAATAACATTAAACTCAAGTCATTGATTGTAAGATGATAAATGAAAGTATAAACATGTCTGACATCTATAATAATGCAGGGTCAGAGCAGGACCTCCAACCTAAGGAGATGAGACGGAGAGCAAGAGAGACCAGTGGGAGCGAGAGCAGAACAAATCAACAAACAGCTTTTCTGTTTTGGTGTCGTGCCAAATAGCAGCACAATTAATGAGACAATTACAACAATTATAAACCCTCCCCTAGGGCGTAGCACACACACACACACACACACACACTCTCACACACACACACACACACACACACAAAGAAACACACATACAGTAAACTCAATGTAAACAATCAACCTTGAGTGATTTTAATGAACTGCCTCCCTGTTCCTGCATTAATTAGATCATTCAGCAGCACACGGTTCCGGCACAGATCTGATTTTTCGCTGAAAAAAAATCCTGTTTTTTCAGTAAAGAGAGAAAAATAAGTCTACGTCATGCTGCTTCACTGTAAACCTGCTGATTGCATTTTGGGCCGATGGGATATATTGTACTGTAACGTCAGGTGGAAAATAGACTCACCGGCACGGCTTCAACGTGGTGGTCATACTTCAAAACAGGCTATTACATCTGCAGCGGTGTGGATGTGTGTTTCATTATTGTTGCCAGTAGCAAGTGGAGCTCAAACCCACAAGGAGCCCACAACATCAGCTCAACACCTTGCGTCACCAGTCGTTAAGATGCATATCAGGGTGCATGTGCTTAGCTTAGTATTTCATTGTTATTACAATAATCTTGTTTTTGTATTTTCACATTAGTATCTTAACGGTTTTCACAAACGTTGTTTTTCATTTGTAGAGGGTGTTCAGGGTTAAAATGTTGGTGATTTTTGGTCCAAACTGGATCCGAATGTGGGGAAGGGGCTGAGTGTTTTCAGCTGAATCTGTATTTATGTCCAACAATAGCATACTGATGAAGATGGGATGGGGTTCTCTTTGGTTTGATGAGTCTAGATTGGCCACATGGCTCACAGAGCGCTGCGGGATAGAGAGCTGCTGGACCCTGAGTTAGTGTTTTAAAGGGTTGTTCTTTGGGCGCTTCAGGCCTGAGTGTGAACACTGTGTTTCTGTGAATGACATTTCAATGGATGTGTGGTTTTAAACGAGGCTGTTTGCTGTCTGAAAGAGACTCAACTGGTTATCCATCTGTGACACTGCATTGTTTTGTCTCTGCAGGAGAAACTTCACGGTTGTCAGAAGATATCAGTGTTATGTTATCGTGATATATGTGTGTGGTGGAAGTGTGTGTATGTGCCTGCAGTGTGTGTGCATTGGGGGGGGAGGGGTTATCTGTGTTATACAACATTGTGACTGGTGCTTGATGTCTTATTAAAGGAGGGTAGGAGTCAAATTCAAATAAGCTTTATTAGCATGAATGTTCAAGCTACATTATTGCCAAAACTAATGCACATACTCTTGAATAATACTTAAATCTTCTACTCCTCCTTTTCCTCTTTCTTCTTTATCTTAACAATGCACCTTCATCTCTGTCATCATCGTCATCATCATGGCTGAACAAACAAATGAACGCCACCCCCATGAATCGTGTCTGTTGCCTACTAAACCTCAACACAGCAGCAGGCGGCGGTAGTTTAGGTTGAAATGTATTGTGAATGCTAAATAGCTCACTTTAGATCCCGACGGTGTGGAGATGAATGGAGGTACAATCGCTCTCTAGCAGGCTGACAGGCTGCTAAGTCAGCGCGTTTACCTCAATAAAGGGGGGGGATGCAGATTCCGTACAGTCATCCGTTTTCTCTTCAATATTCCCCCCTGGGTTTTGGGCAAAACACACACTCAAACTCTGTCACATACATTTTATATTCAAAACAAGCATTTCTCATTATTACACTGTAAAGAGACTGATGCAGACCCCCCCAACAACAACAACAACAACAACACACAAACACATTCTGCTCCCTCACAGAGGGAGAGGTGAGAGATGTTGTTGACGTTGGATCGGAGTAAAGTGGTTATTATTTTGTTTTGGGTGCTTGTCTGCAAACCAAACCCTGCTGAAGGAGTCGGCCATGGAAGCAATTCTTGTGGGTAAAACAGTGTTGTATTAGTCAGACGCAACAAGAGAAAGCGGCTTCAGAAGAGGCCAAGACGGGATACATATGAAGACGGTTTGAAAGCTCCTGGTGCACGAGTCAACAATTCCCTCTCTGGATGACATTGACTGAAATGCTCCTCAAGCTCCTCCAAATATTAAAGATGAAATATTTTCCCTTCCCTCTAGTTACATTATTCCTCACCCTCCTACACACAGTTGGCCATTACAAGAAAACGCTTGTGTAAACATAATGTAAACGAAAAGATCTTTATGTAACAGTGTGACACAGTTTGAAAGCATGTGTTGTGCTAATCATCACAATTTAGTATTATCTGCAAAGTAGATCTCAAAAGGTCAAAGACTTGATCCTGACACACCGTTATGGGTCCACAACACACACTTAACCCTGCTGGCTCGTTGTAATATGAGTGACTCAGCAGAAACAAGATGCTTCAGCTGCTTTTGCAAACAAACAAACAAAAGTTTTCCTCTCTGGACAATAGTGGATGAAAGGTGTTTTCTTGGCAGAGACTGCTTTTGTCCTCTTTGAAAGGTTTTTTGTCAGTAAACTCTGCAGAAATGTTTCCAAACATTCGAGCTGCCAAAACAAGCAATCTGCTGTCTGATATATATGAATTAATATGTAATAATAGTATGTTTTCCTTCTAGCTTTGACAGACACACGCCTTTCAGGATATTGGATGTTAACTTTGTGATAAACCTCTCTCTCTCTCTCTCTCTCTCTCTCTCTCTCTCTCTCTCTCTCTCTCTCGCTCTCTCTCTCTCTCTCTCTCTCTCTCTCTCTCTCTCTCTCTCTCTCAGGTGTTCACCCAGTCGTTGTGAGCACGGCGGCCGCTGCAGTCAGTCCTGGACCGTCTTCCACTGCAACTGCTCTGAGAGCGGCTACAGCGGAGCGACCTGCCACAGCTGTAAGTCAAACATCAGCACATACAGCATCTATAGTAGCTATAGGGCCAGAATAAACCATTAGAGCACCGCCACCAACAACCCACCGGTTCCTCCCACTCTCTCTGCATTGTGACCGGCTGCCTTCGAGTACCCATCACAGAGCACTCAGCAGATGGAACGTGGCAGATCCATTATATTTTGCCGACAGCCACAGCTGAGCTATACTTCCCCCCATGTTTGATATGTGAAATGTTTTTCACATACAATGCATTACTGTATAAAGATGCAGCAAATAAGCATAATGTCAAATACGATAATAAAGCCGATTAGCACATAGAAGAGGGAACACATTCTGTCTTGTGCTTTAACCAGGTGCTGAACAACATGAATCATGCGTTAGTTACTACGACGTTGTCAGTCAAATCTTTCTTGATAATCTTGATATAAAATATAACGCAGGCAGCATTATGTGGCCTTCGAAATATATTTGCTGTTGTAGATTTGTGGTATTTACTGTAAATCTAACTTCTAGGAGACATGATTGGTAGAATTAGTTAGGAAAAGGTGCAAGAAAGACAAATAATGAATTTCCTTTTACATACAGTTACTTTTACATTCATACAAATTTCATCAACAAGAGGCAAAATTGAAGAGAAAACCAACAAATGTGAAAAATAACAGCAAAACACTGAAGAAATAATAAATGAATGACATAGTAGTTTTGTTGCTGTTTTGATGAACATGTCAGTTCATTCATGTCAAGAGTATTTAAGAGACTGTTCAAGTTGGCAAATGGAAAAGAGGCTGTTTATAGTTTTACCTCCAATCTGCCAATCCCAGATGCACTTACTACACTTTCAGTAATTACAGTTACATCTTTCTCCTTTAGTGTAGGTGCTAAACTGTGAGTTATGACGGAACAGAAACTAGACTGTTCCTTAGTTTTTGTCTGAGGACATTTTTAATTGTTACTTTTTCAAATACTGAATGATTACATTAAACTGCAGCAGTGAGGTGAGCTGTGGTTAGATCTATAGCTTCTGTGCCGATTCCCTCGAGTCAAATCCTGGAAACCAAAAGAGGAGCGTTTCCCACACGCTTCGCCCCTGGTCTCATTTTTATTGCTGGTGTTTTCTGTGGAAACCTTTTTCTAACCACACTGAGGGAATGTGATGAATAAAAGGCCTTTGGCTGTCGAGCAGAAGAGAGAGAAACAGGTGAGCAGAGTGTGGGAACCTTGAGATATGGATTTGACTGGAAGGCCTTGATTCTTTGATTGCAGAGGATGACCTGGTGTGTGTGTGTGTGTGTGTGTGTGTGTGTGTGTGTGTGTGTGTGTGTG